GAAATTTGGTCTAACTAATCTAGATAGGAATCTCGTTATTAAAGCATACGGATGCATTCTATATTTTATGTATGAATACAAACATGTTCAGCATAATATCGTGTGATGAAATTCCAATGACAACTCGATGTATCTGTCTGACGGGATACATTTCACTATCATTGAATGATCAGACCTAATAAACGTCAATCTCTCATCAAACGCATGTATATTACTTATACGATTTCATTGATATTTAATATACCGCTAATTATTATAAGCTATAAGCCCTGAATAGATTTGAAGTTCCCCGTATAGGTAGTATTTATTTTCTAATTGTATAATCTGATTGACTCTTCGAAACTAATTGTTACGGGATTAATATTTTTATACAAAAGCAGACGTCGGTATTTACTATTGTAATTATTAGACATTTGGGATAGCGTTAGGAATATTATGAACATTACAGTTTATATGTTTGTTTAGAATTAAAAAATATTTTAATTAATATAGTGATATCTAATACATGTCCGCGTTTTCATAAGCACTTTCATCTCCTCTACCCTTGGTCACGGGAACTGAAACATCGGATTCATGTAAAAATAAAATTGTAAAAAACTCGGAATATTTGGAAAACTTAGTTTTATTTAAATATTAGTTAGCACTTGATAAATTATATTTTTCGGTTAATATGCTAATCCGCTAAAGTCTAAGTACTTAATTGTGTATATGTTGAACTGTAATTTTGGCATAAGCTAAGATGTATATAGTATATAAAAAATAATATAAAAATAATATACATATATAAACGTACTGTTCAGCTAGAGGTTAAGGTGGGTTTGAGGCCTTGCTAGTATCAATATAAATTTTCCGTTTTATATGTACTTTCTAAGAGAATTTAGATACCACTGACTGAGATTGTAAATGAAAACATCGGAAGGAAACCTGGGCTTATTTATTCAAATTATAAGTTTGAAATTGCCAACTAACCGTGAGCAAGTGATTATGTGAAATGAGGCCTTTACTCAGCAGTGGACACAAATAGAATGATGATTATGATTGAATTAAACTGAAAACCAATATCAGGGTTTATAAATATGTTATTATACATTAGTTAAAATAACATTCGTAATAATAGTTATATGATGGTTAAAGCAATGATGTTACTGCAACATAGCTTTTAAAATAAATTCCTCCTTTTTGTGAAATCAAATAGATACGTAAATAAACTATTTAACTTTTTTATATAATTTATATCAAACCAGGGCAAGTAAAAATGTTTTGCATTCTGCTTACTTATTCTTTCGTCTACTTGTTGCGGGCGTAAACATTTGTCGCGTCCGCTTAGTGTTTCAAAAACTACGACAATTGTAAATAAAATATTATATTAAATAAATTGTCTTTGCAAACAAACTAATTTTTGCACCTAACTCCATCCGTACTAAGCTTAGCTGTTGTTTTTGTATATTCTGAGAAATGAAAAGTCATATGTGGTCACAAAAACTACATACGAAGTCACCCAATTTAACATTTTAATAAAAAATATTGTGTCTAAAGATAAATAATATTTTGCGATACTACATACTCCCGACGTTTCGATTACATTACAGTCACCGTGATCACGGGCAGACGAGATGTGTTGTCTCTAAAGTAGTTTTTAGACTTGAATAATAGTTAAAAAATGTCTGTAAATTTGAATTTCCCAATTACATATGTAATTAACATTTATGACTTTTCTTATATTTCGTCGTTTCTATTACCATCATAAATTTTCTGTTTGTAGAATTATTAAGTTAATTGTAATCTAGCTTTAAAATTCAAGTAAATCATTTTGGTTTTATTGCATCCACGAACGTCTATATCATAATTTGCGCAGTCGGTAGGATTTCCGACGTTAGTTAGGTTTAGGATTTTCTAATATCGAAGACCGTCTAACTGACGAAGGTTTTCAAGCCTTATCGGAAGTCCAGCATATTATGAAAAAGTGATTGCTGCTGGGTCTCCTCATACATCGACCTAGGAAGACTACGACTGAAATTAAGTAAGTACACCAGAATTGCTTTTATGTTACTTCGTTACTTCTTTCCCTAGTAACAAGATCCTCTATTCCTCTAAAATTACATTGAGCAAGCTACATAGTACTTATACGTAAATGAGATATTGTTCATTTGCATTAAAAAAGATAATTTAACTTTTTCTTTCCATTTTATCTTTTTTTTATATTTAATTAAAACTTTTTATCCAATCAATTAATTCTCCTAAGTAACCACAAAAGTATTCGATGTAATATAGGCAAAAGCCCGATGTTATAAAAATAAAATCTTCTATAACCCATTTCATAAATTAAAAACTAGAAAAAAAGGAAACTAACAATATAGATCCATGGAAAACTGCGGGAAGATTTTATTTTGTGGAAAATAGTTACCGATCTGCGGGTGGAGGTGTTACTACATTTTAAAAATTAAATGAACATCGCCGTGGCAACTTCGTTGTATGGATAAAATATCATATGTCGATTGACGCCGCTGACGCTGCGGAACGAACACTAAGCCGTGTGCACTAAAAGATTCTTGATACCATAAGTCCATACGAGCCATGGAATGGGATTGCTATAATCATGTAGTCTCAGATATAGTTTATAAGTTTTAATATGTAATTCTCATTATAATATATGTAAGTATATTTCATAGTTTTCCTGGAACTTCCGGTTGTCATCCTACATAATTACTTCTTTAATAAGTACTATTTATTTGTTAAGACCAATAAACTAAGTATTCACGTTTTCAAGCATTTTAAAAGTTTGATTTCACTAAAAAAATATCAGAAAAACACTTCAATGTAAATTCTAAATATAAAGGTTTGAAATTCAGGTTCAAAATTATTTTGAATCGAAACAAAATTTTGATTCGACAATGGCCTTTGTAGTCGTACCTCGATGGCGCGACCTCTAGTTTAATTGTTTGTTTGGGCGGCCTGTCATTTCCTGCGTGTAGGCTTGTTGGCTGTTTGCTACTACATATAAACATAAACAAAAATGGAAGCCTTTATTACAGTATGTATCAGTCGCAATAACAACAGAATCATGTAAAAAAGAATTGAGGTGCTACGATAAATTATAAAAATTTAAAGAAAATGAAATTTGAAGATTAACATTTTTTCTACTTACTGAAAAGTTAGATGAAATACATATATAAAACAAATGACAATCTTAATTCTTAATCTCAGTAATATAATATTCAAGTTGAACTTAATAACGATAATCGGATATCACTTTTATTCCAAATAAACATTAAATATTCCAGTTATTCTGCTAAAATAAAAGACGTAGTTTTAATACTCCATATCAAAACACGTTACAACATTTTTGACTACAAAAAACCCACGTAGTGTTAAAATGTTTGACATGACGTGTTTTTGTAAACGCAACACCCTTTTAGCTTTATTTTTGTTTATAAATATGACAAAGCCTTTAATATTGACTCACAAAGTAACATGTATTTATTGCAATCTTTTGTAACAGGTTGACATGGCCGCTTTGCGTATTTAATTAAACTTCGATGTTAACATAACATGAAAACTACAGTTCCACTATTGACTTTGTAGCTATTGAAACTATCAAGCAATTCAGGCAGATAGAGTATTATTAAATTCGTCGCTCGAATATAGCCATTATATTCACGCTGTTAACAAAGATTATTCTTTGAAGATAAATAATAAATAATAGGTAAACATTTTAGACAAAACTGTAAAAGATATTTAGGTACTTAAAAGACTTTTACCCAAAGAGCTATTTTTTAATTACTTTATTTAAGTTTTTTCCCTTTCTAAAAATACATGTGAGTATATTTTTTTTAATTTCATGATTGACATAATAGTAACAAAGGCTTGACAAATTTTTGTTACAGCCTTTTAAGTTCAAAAGTAAATGATTTTAACTGTAACTAAAATTCAATTTATCGTTAGTAATTTTAAGTAGTAAGATTTTTAACTGGAAAATTATTATTTTTAAACTTTTGAAAATATTGTTACCAAAAAATTAAATTTATATATATTGTAAATATATACTAAAGAGAATTGAAAGGTAAAGAAAATATTTTTGAAATATCTGGGTTTCGGTTAAAAAAAAGGGTTCGCTACATAGGTTTCAAAGAAGTCATATAGGATACATTTAGTTATATGAAAAAAGCCCATTATACATATATTATAAAATAGATGTTTATGTTGTTGTTTTAAAAGCGTCTTTGCAGCTATTAATATTTCACCACTTGGTTTATTTTGCCTCTGAAGTGTTCCTTAAGTCACGAAAGAGGTGAGGTCGCATTTTCTACTGCTTCAACATTTTGTCCGGTACATAATTGTTGAATTCGGACGAGTAGAGTTTATCGATGTTCCCACTAGATGGCTGTGTGTGTCTTTGTAAGACGTGGAGTGGTCTAAAATATGACAAATGTTTAATGTTAAAAAAAGTATTTTTAGTGGTTTTTTTTTTCTATGCTATTTTGAAATATTTCTCTGGAAACTCCTCTTTTATAGTGTGAGTTCCTTCGAAAGTATCAAATATGTTTTACTGTTATAAAAATTAATTTCAAAATTGAGCTTGTGACGTATGTATGTAATATATGTTACTTATACTAAAATTTCATTTACATGTTTCATTGATCCAATTTCTTATATTAGACAATCAGCAATTTCAAACAACTCAAATGCTTATTCATGTAACTTCATAATTTTTAAACTGTCTAAAATTAAACAATAAAAGTACTTATCTCTTTATTTGCCAGAGCTCTTTCTCTGTTTTTAAACAACATCACTTTTTTATAGTATAGTTGTGTAGATATAATAAAAGAAATATTTCAGTTCGGTCTCTGTTTTTAATTTTACGCATTCTTGACTTTCGCATTTCACAGATGAATTATATTTTCAATTGCATTTCGGATTTCTGTAAATCAAATAATAGTTCTGGACAGTTTCCCTACATTCTTATTTAAAGTCAAAATTAATTTCCCCTAAATTATATTAAAATGAATAAACGGCAGTGTTTGAAGGTCATAGTTCTCATTATTTTGACAGAAGTTCTCGGTTATTATAGTGTACAAAGTCGCAATATTCATGAATCCGATGAAAGTGAATATAGTTCTTTAGACTTAGAGAAACTATTTAAGATTTTATCTCGTTCTAAGGAAACATATCGATCGTATGACAAGACTCAAAGAAAGTCAAATACGGATGAAGAGAATGCTCACCTCAATAAAGTTCTGTCTCAAACCGAAATAATAAACCAATGGTTACGTCAAGAAGGAGTTGTAAGCGTTAATAAGGAAAACACAGTAAAAGATGATTTAGCAAGCATTATCGAAAGGGAACTTTTAAACGCTTTATCAAAAAAGACATCATCACTTTTGGATAGGCCCTATCTACAAAAAGCAGGAAGAAATGACTTCCTCGTGATGAAATCTGAGTCAAATGATCCTTTCGTAACGGTTATCCCTAATGATATATATTATAATGTTGAAAAGAAGTGCGTGAACTGGTTGACCGATTGCAATCAAAGGGGTCTAAGAAATCGTTTACTACAGAAAGTCAACTCGCCTTATTAAACTTATTATTTTTAAACCAAAAAACCTTAAGGAAATGTAACTAATACTCCTTGAACTTCATTGTTAGACTAAATAATTATTTATTTTAAATATAAATTAACAAACCTAGAATCGAAAGCAAATTTTCCTTTGTAATTATTAAAACCTTGTGATTTTTAAGCACACTATCTATGAAACTCATCAAAAACCTTGTTAAAGTTAAATTTCTTAAAGGTTTGACAGAAATTTGTGTGAGTTTTCAGATCAGCTTCTATTTATGGATGTCCTTTCCAGCGTAGAGCACAGCTCAGAAGTTAACGTCAATCAGCCATGAAATTTGTAACCGTGTTGTTATCTTTAATAATTATGAGTAACTGAGAGTGAAAAAATACTGATCAAACAAAAGAGTTGTTTGAAACAGTGTCATCATATTATATTAAATATATTTCATACTTCGTACAAACGTTGTCTTTTTCTGATCGATCCCAACATATATTTACAATATAGTTAACGGTTACCTATGTCCAATATAATTTTAATTTATATCGAGAGAGAATTTGTATTATAAGTTATTAACTACGAGTATATCTTCTCCTTTGTCTTATTGATTGGAGTACATAAGTACTATCGGACTAACAATTAAAAGACTCAATAGTAATTTAAAGTATTTTAACTTTAAATATTCTGATATTCCACTTTTTTTTGTACGCCATTGTAAAAAAGTTATTATTGTTATTAGAAAGAAAATCATTGGTCGCTCGATATTATGAATATATTTTTTAATTTTATGATAGAAAGTAATTAAATGGAAATATGTGATTTTCAATTAGAACTGACGAATGCCATTTCAGATTTAGTCGTAATTTTGCTCTATGTATATCAAAATATATTATAAACTATATATGGAAATGAAATACACTTGGAAATCTATTTCGAGCGGGTTGCAGAATTCAAAATGGAAATCATTTTTGCTTCCGAGAACAACCGCTGTCATAGTCATATTGCGTAGGATTAAAATTATCAACATTGAATATTAACCGAAATACTGGACTTTGTATTAATTAACAAAGTTTCTAATTAATAATAATTTTAATATCTTTATGAGTATGGATCAATAGCAATGAAGTTATTTCAAGAATTTTTTTTATTCTCATGAATTTGTTATTTAACTCTAAACAATTTTATATTAATTGACGTATTTTTAGCAGAACCTTGATGTTTTTTTAGTATATACTTTCATATTTTTTCGAAACTAAGTTTATAAGGTAGGTTGCAGAATAAGGTTCCGGTGCAATCAGTCACGAGGGGAGGGGTCTTGATCTCATTGTGGGGTATTGGGGATTCGCTTGATGGTTGGTATCCGCTTTGTCCGCCGTCGGGGGCTTACGCTCGTCAGTGGGTGGTTGGAGACTGGCCACGTGGGCTTGGGTGGGAGGGTTAAGGGGTTAACCCTCTCGCGATTAAGCAAGCCTGCCAGGCGGGGGGACTCTCCTGGTCAGTTGGAGTGAGCCTTCGGGGGGTGGGGGGAGGGAGGTGTCCGTTCGCTGCCTACTGCCGGTTCGTCGCGGATGTATGTTTCGGCGATTCCCGTGGCGATCCACTAGGCGGCGACGGAGAGTAAGACCGCTGGTGTTTTAGTGGGTAGCATGGGCTATTCTGGCTCGTGAATCCCATATACCCGCTTCCGTCTCACCAAGACGGAGGGGTAGGCATAAAACCTTTCACCGCGTTAACGAAAAAAAGGTTGCAGAATAAGGTTTATATTTCTGTATCAATTAATAAAAAGATTGTTTTAATTCATCTTAATCCGAACAGCGTCCACCAGTTATAAAGACTTATTTATGCTAAGTTAATAAATTTCATTAAATAGCATAAAAAAACATGTAAGTACTTTTAGCTAACAAATTTCTGCTTCAACTATAATACTATATAGTAATATCTAAATCCACACATGTATCTTTTAGTGGTTTTGTCATTAAAGAGAATTATTTTTTTATCGATTGGATATAAACCGCTTATGGAAGAGATTCAGAATTGATTGAGAGTCTCCTATGTGCCTTAAGATCAAAATATAGAAAATATTTACGATCAAAGACATACTGAATAATTTTAATTTGATTAAAAATCCCTAGGAATTTTTAATGGATAAGATTTAACTACATTGTAGTATCACAGGATTTATGTGTGCTTGTGTCGTGTGCGTCAAGTAACTTACATGTTAGTCGCGCGCCCCCTCGTATCGAATTTTATGAATGTTTGAGTTTGAGTGTCCAATTTTTTAAAAACATATAGCATGCTTATGTCTATTTTTTTATTATATTTGCTTTTCTCATTGCATCTAAATTAAACTAACATGACGGATTACTTATATAATTTACTGAAAGTATTGTTGTAGTATAAGTCAGTGGTGGCCTAGTGGTTTAAGTCCCGCCTCTCGTGCACGAGGACGCGGGTTCGATCCTGGCAAGTACAAATGTGATTTTTCCGAGTTATATGTACTTTCTAACAGTATTTAGACGGCGAAGGAAAACATCGTGAAGAAACCTGGACTTATAACTTCACAATTACAAGTTTGTAATCGTCAACCCGTCTTTAGCAAGCGTGGTGATTAATGCTCAAACCTTCTTCCTGTGAGAAAGGGGTTTTTTCTCAGCAGTGGGCTCTGATAGGCTGATGACGAAGACGAATGTTGAAATGTTACAATAAATGTTCCCTTATTTACAACTTATTACAGCTGAGTCGACTTTAATGGTAGTATCGACATAACATTTTATCCTCTTGTGTTAATTATTTTACCTTTTTTGTAAATAATTACATTGAAGAACGAAATAAAATTATAATTTCATCTGTTTTCTTAGTCCAAATTTGCATCTTAATTTACATACGAAGAGTTGCAAGTTTTTCAGTAAATAACCGACGTAGTATACTATATTGTAAGAACATTTGTGAATAAAAAACTGTTAATGCTCCGTTTATAGCTTTAATGACTTAGAATAAGTGTAATGCAATTATTATGTGGTTTCTTGATATAAGCAAGTTTGATTCTATTAATATGTATGATGGTGGTGATTACTCTGAAAACCTTATGTTAATACAATACTTAATAGCAAATAAAAATACTATTAAGACCTTAAATGGCAGTAAATAACAAGGATTTATTATTATTTATGCGAGTACATGTTTTGAAAGTAAAAGTTTGAAATACTCATCTGCTTCGAAGATTTAACTTTATGTTTATTAAATCTTTTTATGGCATAATTTGGGTTCGCTGAATAACACGAGATTAAAATGAAACAATAAAATTTTATACATAGTTTTATTGTTAATTGCATTTGTTTACTTAGCAGTAGTATACATCAAGATACTGTTAAAGGTTTGAAAAGTATAGAGATAACCTTCATAATTGTCAGTTTCAGAGCTAACTTAGGTTATTCAAACATCTTAGCCAAGCTAAATATAACAAACACATTTTATGCGAATATAGTTCTTTTGTTTCATATAAAATATGTAAAAAATGGATAACTGAATCACTGGCGATATATCTAAGTTAAATGCGACCGCTGTTGACATTTACAGAACAACGTTTAATCCATTGATATTATTAGTGAAAATGATATTACTAAATCTTAAAATTAAAATATTCTTTTGCCTATTACGGCGACCTACCTACGTACTTAAAAGTAATGAATAAAAAAGCAAAAATGGCAGTGGCATAAACTAAATACAAATGAAACCAGTTTTGGCACAAGACGTTAGTCAATTATATTGATTAGCAAACAAGGGTATTCATACTGTTTTTATTGGAGGTAATAAGATAACGTAAAAAAAACATGCAAAGGTTTCAACTATAACTACGAAAATTATGTTATATTCAAGTTTTATGGCACCACATACAACATTTCGAAGAAAATATCATCCACGCAGCGTGATGATTGAAATTCATATATTGGAATAACATCGGTAGTATCCCAATATAAATTTTAGATATCTATACATATTAAACTAGCAGTATTGTCCTGAGATTTTATATAATTTTTTTTATAAGTCAAATATGCCGTAGATACATCTCGATAACACTAAGAATATTAAATTTCAAATCCGCATGTAGAATTCAAGAGTGAAATATATAGGAGACGGAATTTTATTATAAATAGTATTATAGTTAGATATACTAATAATAATTATTATTCAATTGACATTATTTTGCTTGGAACTTGAAATTAATTTGGAGACATAGTGTCCCTTCGATGAAAGGACTGCATGGCTGTATTAACTAAGAAGATCGTCTGGAAAATAAAATTATATGTTAATCATTTAATCTATGAAATAAATAATACGTAATGTCTTATTACTATTTACCTTTCGTCATGTAGTTGTATCATCATGAGTCGTTAATTTAATATTCGTTCGGTGATGAATATCCGATACTGTAAATTTTATAATAAAATAATTAAATATTTAAACCATATGTAATACAACTATAACTATTGAAACGAGATATAATTAGTCAGTCAGAAATATATGAATAAAAATATAAATATATATTAAATTAACACAAGATGATTACCACTTAGTATAATACCTACCGTCTCGGAAGTAGCAGATAAAGTATAAGCAGATCTTTAAATAAATTTATTATAAAGCTCACAAAGGACGGTAGCAAGACAAATAATAGACCACCATAAGGTTTGGGCCTATTATGAGAATTGAATTGGTAATTAGGTGGGGGTGATTCAAATACTTCGATCTCTTCGAAGAAGGGATATACATCAGGGAACATGGAACTGGGTTATCCGAGCAGCGTGAAAAAAATTGTTAGTTCTGTATTTGACATAATTATTAGTTATATAACAAACATTGATAGATATACTCACTCTTTGCACTGCTGAGTATTTCTACCAGCTACGGCAATGTTACCAAGATTTTCACCGCGTCCTCTCCTGAATTCTACCTGTTCTATACAACCTACTAGTCCAGGGAAGTTGACATCTCTCTTTAAAAATTCGGGAATTCCACCTTTAAGATAAAGAAAAATTAGGTTGATATTGCATTAATGTCAGCAGTTTCATATAAAGTTTTATGCGGTACATTACCTATATATATGTTTGAGTCAGCGTTCATGACGTTGGATATACCAGCGGTCACCTCACTTCTCGTCACCGTATCGACGTTTAGCTCGACACGTCTGTCTTCGTAGAATTTGACGATTATCTGAAAAAAATCCGCAAATAAGACAAGTTAATGGGAGTTCAAGGTCATATTTTTTTACTAACGGTATGAGTTTCCTTAATTTTGTATATTTACTGACCTGATGGCGTTCTCCGTCAGAAACAAGGACATCGTCAATTACAATTCTATTGCTTCCGCTGCCAGCATCCCATTCCATAACGACCGCTCCTCCTTCCACTATTGAAAAATATTAAGAATTTTTTACTAAAAACCTCAGTCAGTATTATATTTTACTTAATTAGCGTGTTTATGTTTAAAACAGTACTAATTTTTAGAGACAAAAACTATGAATTTTTATAAACTTACCCTTTAATAGGACATAGTCGCCTTGGTAGGAACTCTGAGCTTCTTTTTGGTATAATAGTATACCATCTTGGTGTGTATGGAAAGCAAGGGCTATGAGTGCAGGTTCGATTTCAAGTTGGTCGTATCTTAAATATATAGCCGGTAACTCCAAATATCCATTTCCACTGAATCCAACACTTTGCAGTGGTTGGAACACTTAAAAAAAAATAATTATTATAGCAAACATGAAATGTTGATAACGTTTTATTACGCAACGTTGAATAATATTACTTATTTACAAATGGATTACAAGAATTTATTTAAAATAATAAAATGATAGAAAAAGTAAATCTAAATTTAGTAAAGAAATATTTTTGGAACAAATAGCGATAATTCGATATTGTATATATAATCAAGTCGCTGAAGATGTAAAATGGTATTAACCAACAAAAAATTATATTATTTACTTGTTTGACAGCTGGGACCAGTGTATCCAAGAAGACAGTCACAGGTATAGTTTACGATAGAGCTCCTATCAATTTTGCAAGTACCGCCGTTCTGACAAGGCGAAGATGCGCATGGGTCTATTTGACGACCCAAAGGTACTCGTATTTCGCAGAGCTGACCGGTGAAACCAGCGGGGCAAGTGCAGGAAGTTTGTTCAGCATCCAGACAATAGCCTTCATTGCGGCATTGACTACAGATTTCTTCGTCCTATACAAAATGATAGCAATTTTGTTACTTCTATGCAACATTATTTGTTTTCGCAATAATTGGTAAAGTCATCGACATGAAATTAGATATATATTTGTAAAGTAAGATTTCAGTCATGATTTATGTTGTAAAGAACATTCAAGGATCGAAAAGAAGATATGTTATGTAACAATACGTCATAGAAGAAGAAATAACCTATTAATAGTAGAATTTTGCTATTCACTCACCGAAGATATATCTCCTCGTTCATAGTTAACACATTCCTGTACATTTGCAGATTGGATCGATGCGTTTATGAGATCCAGTTGATCACCGTGGAGAGTTACCTGCCATTTGAATCAGAAAATTATTATAGTCCTCAATATATTTCCAGAAAGAAAAATTACTTTATCTTTCAAAATTATAGTAACTATTTATAAAAATATAACTCACATCTTTAATGCATCCACTGAATCCGCCTGTGACGCCGGTATTATTGTTCAAGTATATCGAATCATCGACACCACCCACGAACATTGGCGTGTCTAGAGTAAGTTCCTAAAATAGATAAATAAATAACATTTAATGAAATATAATTTTTATTATAACAGTACTAGAATAACTATTCAGGTGACGAGTTAGTTACCTTGGTAGATCCCAGTTTAGCTTCATAGTTTTCGTTCATGTTTATTTTCAAGGAGACAACTTTTCCAACTCTTGCAATACTGACGTCCGTCCATGTATGGGGTTCGAGGCTTCTGTTGCTTATCAGAACTATCGGTTCGGTTCCTATATTAAATAATATTAAAATATTATTCGACACTCAAAACTATGTATTTAATGCTGGCAGATCTCATCTATATATATATATATATATACATACCGTATCCCAGATCGTAACGGAATTCTAGACGGCGGTTGTGTACAGCGAGAGAAGTGAATCCACCGTATCCGCGAGTGGATTGAGCGCAGTACATTATAATACCATCAGTGACTGGAGGCTTTGCCTTGATCTTCATAGACATACGGAGGAATCGAGAGGTCTTCGGTGGTTTGATAGCCAGATAGGCGCTTCCAGTGAAGGCCGGGTAATCGATGTTTTGTTTTATTTCACAGCTGTAAACATCGTTGGGTTACAATTCCAATTTCAAAGGCATATTTATTAAATTATCACTAAGTATACTTACTTTCTGCCTGTATATGTAACTGGGCAAGCGCATTTGTATCCATCGGCCGTGTCACTGCATTTCCCAGGTCCACAAAGACCATACCGGCATGCTTCACCGGTACGATCACAGTTCAAGCCAGCGTAGCCAGCGGCGCAGAGACAAGTGTAACCTCGCTCGTTTCTTGCTTCCTGGAAACATAAATAATCGTATATAACAAAGGAGCTTCTTAAAATTGTATATAAAAGAATAGGACTTTGATAATTGCTAGTAAATTAGATAGGAAAATCTACTATGTCATCAGACTATTAGAGCCCACTGCTGAGCAAGGCCTCTTTCTCACATGGAGAAGGTTTGAGCATTAATCACCACGATTGCTCAAGACGGGTTGGTGATTTCAAACTTATAATTGTGAAACTTTAAGTCCAGGAAAATATACTAATATAGTATAAATCACTTGATTCTCGTTACCTGACAAACGCCATTGTTCAAGCAGAGGTTTGGTGTACACGAATTGCATTCCTTCACGTTAGATTTGGCTATATTTTCTCCCATGATATTCTTTTCTTCGTTACCTATTATCAACATGCTCACACATCCGATGAAACTGAAATGAATAATACAAATATTATGGACCAAAATAAAGTGCAGAATTAAATTCTAACTGCTGGGTATCAGTAAGGGCACTCAAATAGGATTTGGTTTTTAGTCAATATATGTAGGTCATACCCAGTTGATCCTTCAAGTTCAATTGGATGTTGCTCTGGTAATCCTCCGATATATAAAGGTCCGGACAAATCTAATACTGCATACGCGTTGGGCATTTCGACAACAAACGGCGTGGTATTATCTACAGCCATTGTCACTGGAATGAAATATCAATATTTTATTAATTATGTACAATAGTAAAACTTAAATGAAGTTAACTTCAGATATAAATTTTACCTCTGGATCCACTTCTGCTCAACCGAATGGTATGCCAAGCGTTAAGTTGCAATGGTGGATCTCCGGTAACAACGAGTGGATTTGATGAATCGTATTTCAGGATGAATTCGGGTACCCCATCAACTAATTGCAGAACCAAATAGTCACCTCCTTCCCTATTTTGACCATTGAAGAGAATAATTCCGTTCGGATCTAAAATATTAATTGAAAAGTGTTAATCATCAGAAGTTAGGAACATAAACTATTAAAGTATAGCTTTTCTTATTTACCAGAAGGTTTGAATGATATTTCGATGGTAAATTTCATGTGAGCATCGTTTAAGGTATTCAAGGCTAGCCAGCCGTCTCCGTTAAATTTGGGGATGACGCCTATAACTTTCAGTATCACTTTAGACTCCTGTCTCACACGTTGATTTGACACCCTACATATATATGTACCGGCATCCGCTTCTGTTACATTTTCTACATAAAGGTTACGCTAAAAAGAAAAAGAAGAAAAAAATTAATGATGAGTTAAATAATTTTTAACTATTACCACAGTCGAAAAATTTGAATAAAGGAGACGAAGAATTAAGAATGATATTTTACCCCAATTTTTCTAGCACTTGCTGGTAGTTGTGAGTACTCTTTTCTCCATTCAGCGAACGCTGGTTCCCCTAAACTAGAAGTGCACTGAAGATTGACATTTTCTCCCAGTCGAGCTTCAAGTGTCAAATCACTACCAGTATTGGGATAGGTCGGTTCACTTGATCCTGAATCATATAAAAAATATTAAAATAAGCTCTGTTTAACAAAATATATATTTATTTTCAAATCATTTACCTAATACTTCAAGATTAAAATCTTCGTAGGATGACTGTCCATAACTGTTTTGTCCGATACATCTGTAAACTCCGGCATCTGATTGTTGCACACCAGGTATTTCCAAAATTGCACCAATGTCGTATGGCTGTGGATATTGTATTACATTTATTTTATTTACCTTCCTTTAAACTTTTAAAATTATTTCAAATATATTTACATAAAATATATATCATATTTATTTATTACATACCCTAGACTGTACATATTCGTTCGTATTAAATTTCTCCCAGGAAACTCTTACGTCTCTGGAACCAGCTCTGCATAAAATTTTAACATTTTCTCCGACCCTTATTGATCCTCGTGGTCTTTCAATTGAAATTAATGAAGGCACCTGATCACGTGGACCTAAAATAAAAAAGGAATATTGGCTTATTCTAGCATTGATATACTGCATCGTTAGTAATTTAAATCGTGCATACATTGACGCCATAATCACTCAAATTACTAAACTAATTGAATATATGAACCACATGCAAAAGCAGATGTTATTGTAAAATAGACAGTTAATAACATGTAGGGTTTAACCTGGGTAAATGTTTTTATATAATTAAAGTATTAGGACATGAAGAGTAATTAAAACAATTCTACTCAAGTTAACCAAGTGGGTTTGATACAGATGCCGCTAAACATAACAAATACATAAAATTTTATAACACCAATTGTCGCCAATTGTCGCCAATAAGGCTCTTTTCGTAGTTATATAATCTGTAAAACGACACAGGGACCCTGACAATCACAACCCTTAAACCAAAATTACCGGAAGGGTTTTTTTTGGAATCCACAAGTCTCGTTGACAAGCGCTTCTCTCTCGATGTACAATTATATTCATCACTTAAATCCAAACAATCGCTGTATCCATCACACAAAAGATCTTCATCTATACAACTGCTGTCATCATAACAACGAAACTGGTTTGGCAAGCAATCAATACCTTTACGTAAAATAAAAATAAATGAAAATAAATTCACTAATTATGTATATATTTATATGACGAAATTATAAACCTTAATTCTATTATGTAACCTGTTAGTTGTAAATAGATCTATAATAATGTTATATCTATTGCGTATGTTACTTTATAATATTAGTCATTCAACAACCCGTCTAAGCATGCTTTATTATTAATGTTTAAGATCATATTGGTTTTGTAAGCAAAAGAGGCGCCATTCGGAAATCAGCGCTGAGAGGTTTACGGCACCAACTAATAAACCACAATGTTACTGATACGTCTCACACTGACCCTCGATGTGTAGAGTGATGTAATTAGTAGTTTGTCTTCCGTATGCATCTCTTATGATACAGACATAGCGACCGGTGTCAGATTTCTGGGCAAGTCGGATGAAAAGCGAGCCATCATTCTTTTGGCTCACTGATCGAGGCAGGGATCTGCCGTCCTTCGTCCAACGGATCCTATACCCGGGCTGCGTGACATTACAGCTGAGATGCACAGCAGCCCCAACATGCGCGTACTGCTCGTTATCATGGGACTCCGATGTCGTGCGATCAGTTTCTTCTATGAACGGTTATTAACACATGCATTGGAATGGAAGTTCTATGTGACAAAGCTTTAAAAGTAATCATTTGAATGAAATTAAGTAGGAAATCACATTTCGAAGATACCAAAAATTTACACATTTAATAGTTCTTAAACGATTAACAAGCAAAAAAAAAAAAACAGTGTTCATCATTTAGATGTTGCTACACTTTACGTTCGAGTGAGTTTTGTGCCACATACATTTTAGTAAATTGTATCGTGCTCGTGAAAATTTATCGCGCATATTATCAAGCAAATATCAGAAAAGTTTTTATAACTTACCGCTTACTATCACTTTGGCGACGGCGGTAGCGTTTGCTATTCTATTCATTGCAAAACATTCGTAGTCACCGGCGTCCTCTACTTCAATTTGATGGAAGATTAATGTAGGACCATGAGTTTCAACGCGGCTGAAATGTGAACATGTAATTATAGGGAGTTTTATTTGTGGCTGTATAATATTTATGGTCACATTCCCAAAAGAGGGTTGATTTCAGGCAGGCGGCCGGTCATTAAAACAATTAGCCAAAACTATTCACAACATGTAAGGCAGACCCTGGCCATAGCCGGGAAATTGCCAGGTAGATTGAAGAATATTTATGGTCACATTGACAAACCTCGAATTCATTCTGTTGAGGGGTCTCCAAGAGACTCTCATGATATCGTCTCCTTCAACGACACATTCGACGATTGGTGATTGACCGGGATGTACTGTTTGTGTTGGTGGTCGAAGCGTTATTTTCGGTGGAGCCATTATTTGCAGTGCAGTATGTATGGAATGTTGAACTTCACCAGTGCGTGGATTCAATAGGGTGCATTCGTACCGCCCAGCGTCACTCTTCGAAGCCTGCAAAGGAAACACCACATTATGTAAAGCTATAAGAAGAAATATCAATACAAATGTTTTACATATTAATTACTCTCAATAAAACAAATTTGATCTTGTTTCCAAACTTTTTATAACTGTTACATAATTTAGTTGCTAGTTCTTTTATTGAAATTCAAATTTAGATTGGATAAATTACTTACATTGTAGATAATAAGCTCATTTCCAATAACTTCAGCATTATGTTGTAATGGACGTCTATCTGAGCGACTCCATGAAACTCGATATTCAGAAGCGTTACAACTGAAATGGTACGGTAGGGATTTGATTATTTATTATTCTACTTATGTATTACATTTTCTTAACTTTAATATATCGTTTCTTATATTGTATAATTACCTGACTCGAGCTACTTGTCCTTCGATTGCTATCATGCTACTTGGTTGGGTGTCAATATTCGGATCTTCACCATCGCCACTGCCTTGATCTAAAAAAAACAATACTGTTGTATAAAGTGTGTTATTCGCTATTTAAATTTTTTTTCTTTGCATAGATTCCAATACAGGTAAATAACCGTAACCTACTTCACTAAAATGTCATCCCTACGAATTTTATAAATGTGAAAGTAACTCTGTCTGTCTGTCTGTCTGTCTGTCTGTTACGCTTTCACGCCTAAATAACTGAACTGATTTTAATGAAATTTGGTACAGAGATAGAGTTGACCTTAAGAAAGAATATAGGATAGTTTTTGTCTCAGAATTTTGAAAAGTTCTCACGGAAACGCGATATTACACTACTCCACGCGGGGGAAGCTGCGGGCGGAAAGCTAGTATATAATATATCTACTTAATATGTACTTATTATACCCATAATATAAATCTTACTAACCATAATCGCCAGTTCCACCATCACCTCTTTCTACACGAATAGCAAATTGCTCTTCGGTTACACCAGCTGCGGATGTCGCTGTGCATATATAATCACCGTCATCACTATCCTTCACATACCGTATAGATAAAATGGCTTTCCTTGGAGTCGGTGGTACTATTTCACGGAAGTCTGAACTTGCTGTATTGGCAAAATAAATCATTACTTAGATTTTATTCTTTTCATCTTTCCATATATGAAAACAAAAATATTATGACATACATCTTATGGACACCATCGGTTCAGGAAGACCATCAGCGCGGCATTCAATGGTAAGACTATCGTCTCTAATAACTTGGTTGTAGGTGTTCGGTGTGATGGTTATTTCTGGAGGAGATCGAACCCTAACAATAGCAGTTGCACTAGTCGAACCAACATCATTGGTTGCTGTACACGTGTATTTGCCCTCGTCGTTAACCTCGATGGTATTAAACCTGCAAAAGTACATTTCATTACTTTTCCATATAAAATTTTTACACATTAATGATAGGCGTTATACTGACCTGAGTCTGTTATCTTGCACAATTTCTATATGCCTTGGTAATGGTCTGCCTCCACTTCTACTCCATGTAACAACGGGTGCCGGGATGCCAGAAACTCTACATTGCAGTTCAAATTGACTTCCAAGTGCTACAGAATTTTCCCCTGATGGATATATTTGTGTAGAAGGCGCTTCACGTCCTATAATTATATATAATAATTAGCGATACAGTTGCAACTAATGTTATATTCATTTTATGAATGTTTCTGCGTACTCTCGATATCAACGTAGACGTATGTCTGAGCTACTGGTGTATTGTCGACTGTTCCTTCGCAAAGATAATATCCTTCATCACTGTCTTGAGCATTTGATATGATGAGCTCATTCTCCCTCTGACTTGTACCTGATCCGAAGGAGCCTTGGAACTATAAAGTAACACGTATAAGATAAGTGATACCAAATAATCAAGTAAATTTATGAGTCAAAAAGGAATACTTTAAAAATATTAACAATTCATAAATATTTAGTCAACTGACCTTAGACCATCTGATTAAGGGTAGCGGGTATCCTACTGGTTCGCATTCAATTTTGCCAATACCTCCTGTGGGAATTGTAAGGCTACTAACTGCCACTGTCACATTTGGATTTTGCGTTGGCACTATTGATGGAACTATGGTTATGACGACAAGCACTGGTTCAATCTGGTATGATGTTGTCTGACAGATATAGACACCTTGATTTTCTATGATTGCATTATTTATATATAACACACCGTTTGATGATCGGACGTTTTGAAGTAGTGGAGTTCCATCTTGTCTGTAATATTATAGAGAAATAATAATAATAATTTTTTATTCAACATAAATGTGACAAATTAGATGGATGCGAACGAAAAATAGCTTACCTGACCCAATCAATGGTACCAGCAGGTATACTCGGGGTTCCAGTGCAAGCTATCGTGACACTTTGTCCTTCGTTGATTTGCGAAGAAGGTGATAGAACAGACAGTTTTTCACGAGGTGAAGTTGGCTTACGACGAACAGTTATAAATGCAGTCCGGTGAGTGGTTCCAGCTGTGTTTGTTGCTATACACCTGTAATATTTGGATTTGATAACTGTACCTAATATTTCACAATCAATAAGTGTTTTTATTCTGGCAGTAAGCAATACCTGTATTCTCCAGAATCTTCTTCATTTGCGCTTTCTAATATAAGTAAATTTCCGAAGGTTTCCATAGCCCGCGGTAAGGCAAGAGTGGATGCCCTTTGCCAACTAATTCTTGGAGCAGGATTGCCGGTTGCTTCACAATTAAGTTCAACTCTGTCTCCTTCGTAATATTCTTGTACTGAAGGACTTATGGATACTCTAGGCAGAGTCATGTCATTACCTAAAATATAAATCGTTACTTAATTTCTTTATAACTACAACATACAACTTTTTGAGTTATTATTACTCTAAGAAGTCTAGGAGATACTTAAGAAACAATGAGAGATAATAATTAATTTCCTGTACAAACAGCATATTTTGATATGCATTTATTTACCTTTTGCGTAAAATACCCAATCCGGCACAACTATTCCATAACATAAAAGCATGAAACAAATTGTTTGACAATTTATATTAATAGGTATAATATAAATGTATAAGTTATTTCCAAAGATTATTTATTAAAATAATAATAATAATAATCTTTTTAATTTAATTAGAATACAATACTTCTTTAATGGTATTATAGTGAAACTCTAATTTAACTCATATTAAAGACGCAAAAAAATATATTATATATTTATTTATTACCTGGCACTTTTAGAGTGGCAATAGCTTGGGCGGTTGAAAATCCATCACTTGTCTCACAAATGTATTTACCGCTGTCAGATACTTGCAAGTTTGTAATAAGGAGAAGACCTGTTCTTTCGTCGATTTGGGTTCGATCTTGCGGCAGATTGCCATCAGCCTTGTACCAGTTTATTTTCAAATTGTTTCGAGCCATTCGGCTTTGAGCTTGGCATGTGAAGTTGACAGTGCTGCCCACTTCTTGAATTTTAATTGTGGGTAAGCTGATTTTCACAACAACGGAACTTTGAGGAGGAGGTGGACGTGTGGTCACATCAACACTGGAGTCACCACCTAAAAATTAAAACCTTATTTTTAGATACAGAGAAAAGCATGAAATTGAACCATTATCACAATTAAATATGTACGAATAAATAAAAATACATAAACACAATACATAAATAAATGTATATATATGTATATATAATATTTTTAGACAAAAACAATAAGGAACAAATAGCACATTTTGTAACTATGACATAACGACACAACATAACAGCACCAAATAATGTATTGGTATTTGGACGTCAACAGTAACTTGGCGTATATACGTAGTAAATATTTTGCGAAAGCATAACAAGTATAAACCTAAACACAGGACTGGACAATGCAACAGAACACTATGGCTTTATCCTTCTGACTACCTTTCTCTGGCAATGTGGTAGACAAAACACCTAATGTAAATCCTTTTTCAGTAACAGTTCGGCACTCATAGATTTCCCCTTGCCGTTTTGTATTCCAGAGAGTATGCCATACGTGTTCACCTCGCCAGCCGTCTTTGTATAATATCGATTCCGAAAAATGTTTTTCGGGCTTTATTTCCTTTCCCTCGAAGTAAAATTTTATGCTCAAAGGTTCTGGTGCTCTATATTTGCATGTAAATGCAACATTGACTACCGATGAATTTGGAAAGCGATCGTGTATAGTTGGGTGAAGTTCCATGATCAGGCCTAATAATTATGGATATAAAAAGAAAAGCATAATAAAAGTATAAATATATGTATTTGCACACATATTATAAGATAAATTTATATAATTATAATTGTTGGGTATTTATTTGTAACCTTTAAACGTGTTTACTCACCGACAGTTGAGCAGTCCGGTCCAGTGTAAGGTGGGGGGCAGTTACAGATGACTTGGTCGTAACTACTCAGTTGACAGTCATAGCCATTGCAGTTACACCGTTGACATCTATCTGATCGATCTTTGTAATACCCAGGGGCACAGAGTTCGCAACTTGTTCCAGCGTAGCCTTCAGGACATATACACAGCTAAAAAAACAAAAAAGTTAGTACTGATGATCAACAATTTTTATTTCATAAAATAGAGTAATTTAAATGTTGCATTCACCTCAACACCTCTGGCTGCAGGCGACGTTAGATCAGATCCCTCAGCAGCGGTATCCATTGATACATCAGCGATTGAAGTAGAGTAGATATATGGATTTAAAGTAGCTCGTACTAACACCCTATTAAGGTTCTTTAGTACGGACATGAAATCAAAGCGACTTGCTCTGTTAGCAGTATTCAGTATGAACCACTCATTTTCACGTAATGGTACTTGGTAACTCTAAAATATAAATAAATAACATTACAAATACAGAATAAAAAACATTGATACACAAATCTCTTTAATTACTTAATTACGAGTACATAACACATTTTTGTTATTTTGAAGAACAAGAGATATTTTTTGGACATAAATGAAGTTGTATAAGTAAGTACTTGAATATACGAGTACGTATATAAAAAAAATATATACCTTTCTGTTCAATATTAGACTGGTAATACAAAAAACTAAAACATTTTAATTTAAATAAAATAAACAGCTTACTTGTGCTACACCGCTTCTTATTGGTACAGGGTTTCTCCAGTAAACTGATATATCCTTGCCAACGAGAACAACATCAGTACCAGGTAAAGAAGTGAGATCACGGTTTGACTCGAATTTTTGAGTCAACGACAATGTTCCGCCGTAAGATAATACTCTGTTACCTGAAGAATATTTTATGTTTTTAGTATTGTAGAAATTATACAGGTTAAAAATTAATTGTTTAATAATGGCTTATTCTTTAAATAGAATTTAATTTAAAGACCTTTTTTTATACCTTTTCTAATACACATTTTGTTGTTCTATATTTCATACCTGGGAAAACGGGTAATGACCAATAAAGATCCTCTCCACTAACAGGTTGTTGCGAAAAGATGTAAGTCAGTTCACTTTCTTTCGGAGCCGATTGGAATTGATCATTAATGACTTGGTCCGCATTGATATTCATAAGCGTGTATCCACCATTGTTCTCGTCAAATATCGGAGCACCCAAAGATACTCTGATGTAATGATTAGCCTATAAAAACAAATTGTGGTTTAGAATCTCGATAGTTTTTGGACTTTGTGATAGTAAAAAATATATATAGATATATTCTTATATTCTTACTTCGCGACAGTCACTTGTGACACCAGAACAGTAACAAGAATGGCAGCCCAGCGGGTTATTTTCATCCAAACCAAACGTTCCTGGCCGACAGCGATCACAGAATTCTCCTTCAACATTTTGTTTACAAGAGCATCTTCCTAAATCATCACATGGTATTTCTTCGCCTCGTGGATCACAACTGAAATATTATAGTGATTAGTACCCACAAATATGAAGGAAAAGAGTTTAAAAATAAATAAATATAAGTATGATAGAACATACTTGCAGGAAGGCCTAACTGTAGGATTCTGAAGAACACAGTTGTTATATTGATCTCTCTGGTAGCCATCCTTGCAGACTTCACAGTTTGGTCCATCGGTGTTGTCGCGGCAGTCCTGAAAAATATTTTTAAAATAACTTGAACTTAAATTTGAACGAGAGTATTTCAAATATATGTATAGATATTATTTATCTTTATTATTGTCACTTTAATAATAAATAACAAATATATTTAACTCTATGTATATAAGAATACTTACATAGCAAACTCCCGTTTCTGGATGACAATTGGAGGAGTGTCCATTACAATCACAAGGCCCACAATGTTCCAGGTAGATGCCACTTGAACTCCTACAAACGAAACAAAATATTGACAAATTTATGAAGAAACAATATTTATGTCATTCTGAAAGACATTTTGATTGCTATTTACCTTGTAAAACCAGGAGCACAGTCTTCGCAAGATGTTCCAACGTAACCTCTGGGGCACACACATTGTTCAACATGTTGTGCCAAAGGACCATCGCCGTTGGGTTCTGCGGTTTCAATACTAGCGCTAACTATTGAAGCTAAATCGACGTCTGAAGAATATGTAGCTTTGACCAAGATTGCTTTTACATCAGCTAATGCAAGAAGGAAATGTTCTCTTGACACTTGTTTACCATCCGGTCTAAAACAGATACAATTATATTAGTATGCAATACCTTGAATAGATATTTGATGTGATGTAGTTATAAATACCTTTGCCATCCTTTTTCTAAGAATTCAACGGTTGCATTCAAGTAACCATCACTGTCCGGGACGAAGTTACCAAAGTAATGGAATGTCAGACGATTCTCCTGCAAAAGATATTTTGAAGTAAAAAATCAGTTCATTTAAATTAAATACAACAATTTTATTTAAAAAAATGTAATACTTACACTAATCAATTGTACATCGGCTGCCGTATTTTGTCCACTCGGAGAGTAAATATGTTTAAGTTCATAGTTAAGTTTGCCACCATAAGATGTTACTTTATCTCCAGCAAAACTGTCAATGAAAATTAATAACATAAGCCCAAAATAACATAAATATTCAAGTATTTATATTTATATTAGGATCATTTAATTTGGACGACTTTTAACAGTTTCTTTACCTATTAGGAAGACTCCAGTAAAAGATGGAAGGTTGTGAACGTTCATAGGCACTTAGACTTATTTCGTTATTGTAAAGTTCTGGTTGTAAATCTGTTTCGATCGGTATGTTATATCTCACTGAGCCAGCCTGACCGATCGGCGCGCTCTTGTAAACCTTTACTTCGTCCACTATTTTTGGAACATTGAAATGGACGCTAGTAGTTTTACGACGTAAATTGCTAATACGACACTCCTGGGATACTCCGGAACAGAAACATAAGGCGCAACCATGTCTGTAAAGTAAACACAATCATGATTAAAGTCTAATGTAATAAATAATTTTTAAAAGTTTTTATATAACAAAGTTTTTGTTTATTATAGATAAAGAAATATGACCATCATTAACATTGGACACTAACCTAAAGTCATTTGATAAATAGAATGAACCATTTTTGCATTGGTCACAGTATCTTCCTTGAACATTTTCCTTACAGACACATTCATCAGGTGGACGTATGTGGCTTGTTCCTACTGGGTTACAATTATCTTCAACTTTAGGTTTACAGGAATCGCCCGGAATCAAAGGATTACCATAGTAGTTTGATGCACAATAACTGCAGTCTGGGCCTTCATATCTGTTTAAAAACAAATATTTATAAGGAGTAGTATAATGAATAGAAAATATAAGGGTAAGTATTTAATTTTTTCCATAGATTTGCTCGATTCGTTTGTACTTACCCTTGTTGACATTCACATACAACATTGCCACTTGGACCCACGGCACATGACCTAGCGAATTGGTTAGCACGGTTGGTTAGCGGGCATGGACAAGGTTTACAATCACCACCGCTGCTTGGGTCTCCATATGTTAAGGGTGGACAAGGAGGCTTTGGAACGCAAGTTCCATTCCATGGTCCTCCACTTTGACGCTCATATCCATCGGAACATTTCTATAACAAAATATATTATTTGTAAATCATATCGGATTTCTCTTAATATTTTTTCCGAGAAGGGAATAAAAGATGTACCTCGCATGATCTTCCTTTGTAACCTTTTGGACAAGTGCACTCTTCAACAAGACTAGCCGATCCCAGGCCAACATTATTGCGTTGAGCGGATTCCATATTAAAATCAGTTATATTTACACCAGCATTATTTAAGTCGGCTCTCAAAAGAATCATGCTTATGTCATCCAACCTTAAAAAAAGATATATTTTTAAATTAAGCCCAACTTGAAAGTATAATAAAAGTTCATGCTATATGATGGACTATTGATTTTTTTCATATTTAAAACATATATGTATTTTATATCAACTTACGCCATCATAATATCTTCGCGTGTAGCCGGTACTAAGCCTACTGAGCTAGGCTTCTGCCAATCGCCAGGAGTCAAACGAGCGTTAATATTAGGATCCCTTGACCGGTCGCTACGACTTTGGTGAACAAGAGTTTGATATTTACCCTAAAATATTACGTCAATTTTATTTAAGTCTGCAAATGAAAACGGCTTTGAAAATAAACAATAAAGTATTATTTGTAATTCTTACCACAATGACAACATCTGGTACGTTGTCGTTTATGACGTATCTCTGAGGATTATGTGGAGATAGTCTGTATTTAATGCTGCCTCCATATGAAGTCAATTGATTTCCATTATAAGTCTCTGGGAGTGTCAGATACGGATGAGCACCAGTGTTTCTAGTAAAAGCCGAAGCGAGTTTCGTCACCTGTAATGTTAATTAGTGTAAAAAAACAAGTAACTACCTATTTTTTTTATATCATATATTAAAACCATTACCATAGCTCCGTTTCTAAGAGGCTGATAGTAATATTGGTTTGTGATTTCTTGATCTTTTTCAACAACAGTATCACCGTATGGAGATGACTTAACGCCGACCAATCTCGTTCCTCCTTCTCCAAGCAGGGGTGGCATATTGAATATGAATAGATCTGCACTTTGACATTGAGTTGATTTTCCGAAACAGAAGCATCTGATACATTCATTCTGTGATCGGGCTTCGCTGAAAATTGAAAACGTTTTTTAATAAGAGGTTCAAATAAACAAATATAATTTACACATATATCCTAATAAAAATTAATCCCATCCATACCTATTGAAATAACCTGCAGGACATATTCCTGCGGTTCTGTTGACGAACACAATGGAATCTTGTGGTGCAAGTGAAGATCCTTTATTGTTGGTGCCTTCGCAAGAGTAAGCACCACTGTCTTCGGGCTACGAAATACATAAAGATATTATTTAACAGTAAATAAATAAGAGCAAATATGTATGTATAAAAATAATCTAATAAAAGCTTACCTGCATATCTGGGCAAGTAAGTGTTCCTATTCCATCTTTGGATGTCGCTACACATTTCTCAGGTACATGCTGCCAGTTCAAACGCCAAGATATGAGTGGTACCGGTACTCCTTGAGCTTCGCAAGTAAGTGTAAGAGTGTCACCAGTATTCAGTCTCAAGTTTGCGGGAGACGGTTGTTTCGTGATGTATACAGGAGCTATAAGATTATACATGTTTTATTATGGTCTTTCATATATTAAAACCATCGAAAAAATGTTAGCTTACCGCAACTTAATTCGTCAGACATATCCGCACAATCATATTGACCGTCGCAGTAATATGTTTTAGGAATACACTGGTCATTGCTCTTGCAAGCGAATTCAACCGGCAAACATTTGCTATTAGGGTCATAACGTCCACAGTTTTGTTCATCGGAACCATCTTCGCAATCGTCCTCAGAGTCGCACACCCAGAAGTTTAATATGCATTTTCGGTTCGCACATTGGAATTCGTTCGGATTACAACGGCCATTAGTATCTGCAAATTTAAGGAATATATAAAAATACAGACAAATGTTGTTTTCTATATATAAGAAAGATTAACGATAATAAGTCCAAGAATACGTACTACAGGAATGTTCGTCAGATCCATCTTTACAGTCTTGTTTTCCATCGCAAATAGCAGTTCTTGCGATACACTGTCCATTACCGCATGTAGCTTCAGTGCTTTTACATCTTGGGAATGGTATAACGTGTGATGGTTCTGCATAAGAAATCAGAAATGTGTTTATTGAACTTCTATATATATATTTAAAAAGTAAGGAATGAATCTTAAATAGCACATATAATTTATGTAGTACAAGAAGACGTTCATTTTTTTTTAATGTAATAAAACTGCAGTCACTTTAGGGATAAAAAACAATTTTGATTTCCTTTCTTAAGTCAAAGTTCCTAACTTTTTCAAAGACCATATTTCTGTGATGAAAATTAAGCGATAATATAATGTCAAATGTATATCTTACCGTATTTTTCTACGGTGAGGGTGACCCTTACTTCAGATCCAGGCGTACCTAGATACCTTGGAACTTGACAGATGTATACACCGCTGTCAGCAGACTGCAGCAATATAAATAAATATTAAATATGCATACTGATGTTATACTCACATACTTTTAGTTAGTATATATTTTTTAGATGTTTACTAATATGGAAAACATTTTTTTATCATTTTTTTTTAATTTCAATCAGTCAGATCTAACTTAATCTACTACAAAATTATACATTTAATATTTTTATTTCAGATATTGTTAACGATATCAATATTTCTATAATCTATGTATTATAAAACCTTGGAAACTATAGCAACGTAAGTTGGTAAAATCTCGTGCACGGCTCGGTAAGTATATTTATTTCATTAAATATATTTCCCTACACATTCACACACACCCACAAACACATATATATGGGAACACACGGTGAAGGCTAAATATCGAAGTATTAACTAAACGTACCGTCACTTTCTCCATTTCAAGACGACCGTTCCTATCAGTTGAGCCAGGTTTTAGTGGTCTTCCACCTTCCCTGACCCAACGAACTGGAGCTCTTAAGTCGCCTTCATCACGACACGAAAATACAACATCTCCTCCTAAAACATGGTGGTAATATAAGTAAAACTCTCAAAATAATTATTCTCTCCCAGCCAACATGCTAAACCCTTTTTTTGTACACAAACCTGAAATACAAACTTACATTGACATTGTGTTAACTTCACAAAAATAAATATCTTTAGAAATATAATCCAACCAAATTTTTTTGTTAAATTTTCTGTTAGTTAACAAAACATTAAATACTTTTGTGATTTCATTAATGATGTTTGTAAATACTAGTAAATCCAACCAAAAATTCAAATGATAATATTTGCCGTTATTATGTGAATAAAAAAACAACATGCAGAATCGATTTTAGAATCCAGCAAGTCAGATCTAATAACAAAATAATTGAACCCTTTGATTTTTTGCAATCGGTATCTTAGCTTTAATGCAATTTTATTGTTTCTAAATTAAAATGAGTGTGAATGATGTATGATGTTATAGATTTAAGTTGAAATACGAGTGAGTATACCATCATATTACTCAACGGTGTTGAGAAAGCGCTGTAACATAGAAATCTAAATGGATATTCCCTTTTGCTAACAAACTTTTAAAAAATATCGAATACATTTTATCTTTCCAAAACATATCTACATACTATATATAAGTTGCTTGAGAATTGAGCCGTAGGGCATGATTTAATCAATTAACTTTTAAAAACTAAACAAACTTCTGCACAAACCATTTCTTTCAGCCTACGTTATGTTCTTTCTCAAATCATTTTATACAATATTAATTTTACTTACACTTTTTGTTCCCACATATGTAATTTATTTCATGCTTACCCCCACTGCATATTTTATGTAATTATTTGTTTTATTGTAAACTATTATTTTTACATGCATATTTTATTTAATTGCCAAACAAATCAAAAAAAACGTTATAAATGATAAATAATGGAGATATGATTGTTTCATTAAACGCAATGAAGTTCGGTTAAAAAATCGTAAACCCTTATTGTGCACCCAAAATTAGGCATACGGACTCACCCGAGTGTACTGTACCGCCACCATGAAAGAAATATAAAAGAAAATTATACTGATTGTATAAATAATATTTTAACTTATAATACGTATAAAAAGTAAGCACTTTCACCGAAGTACATATATATAATATTAATTATCTTCGCAACTGTTAAAAATACTTACACATCACCTGGTTAAGGAGTTTCAAAAATAAGAAGTGGATTATATATGTATTAAATATCATACCATTTTAGTACCTATGTTGTTTGTATGGAAATTATATTTTTTGTAAACATAACTAAAGTTCTTCTACTTCGATTTTATTTCAAACAAACTATCGAAACGTTAAAACATCTGCTACGTGTAACGTAACAACTGCTTTCATGATTCGTTCAACATGTAAATATTATAAACAGTGTATTTAAATAATTTTGGATATTTAAAGAACCTTGTTTTGATCGAACGTTGATTACTATAAATGCATCCGTCTACGAAGAAATGAAAAGTTGATTTTTTTATATCATTGTCCGGTAGAGACCATTGATAACCATAGCTTAGATTTTAACCGATACTGTATGTAAGTTACTAAATTAATTTTTGTGCAACATTTATCATATATGTACATTGATTCTAACACTTCTGTCTAAATACAAAATACAAACATAACTTTGACACAGATTTTGTCATTAATTTTAATTAACTAAATACAATTCCTACAATCACGTGATAGTTGTATGAAATCATACAGTAATAATACACATTTTCTAGTCAGTACAACAATTTGATGAAATATGTCTTGAATATCTCTCGCCACAGATTTCCTATTAAGCTTACCTTTGATTCCATCCTTTGAAAGGTTGTACAAATATAGTCTAATTTATAACTTAAGTATGAATTATACATAAACACATATTTTCAACAACAAATTTGTCTCATAAATACATTTTCTTTCTTTTTATCATATTAATTCAAAGTAATAATTTTTTGCAAATCTCCAAATTCATAAGAGTAATAAAAAAATTACATGAAATGCTCAACTTACCGCTGCGAACAGATTGTTCCTTAGGGTAGGTTTTGAGATTCAATACAATAGGACCTGTAAATAAATTGAAATGTTTTAATTACTATACTATACTAAGATGTTATAGGTATACTTAAAAAAGATATCTTTATATATATATAATTCTTCTGTGAGTGTGTATGTCACTGAACTTCTCTTAAACGACTGGACCGATTTTGATGAAATTTTTTGTGTGTGTTCAAGGGATCTGAGAATGGTTTAGATTCACAATTTTGTCCGCTGGACAATGTTTTTTTAGTTAAGTTTTAATTTATTAGTAGTTGTATATACGAACCTTTTTAATTGGATATTAGATTTGACAACTAACTAATATGTCAATCATTCTGTTACACTTCAAAACACGGAGATTTATGGCTTTAATATGTAAAATCCAAAAATATAAATAAAAAAACGTAACAGATTAACTTGATTAGGGCGATACGAAGTTCGCCGGGTCTTCTAGTTGTTCATATATAATACCTGAATTTCCGTATCGTTGAGAGGTTGAGACGACAGCGGGACGAGCAGTGCTAGGTGGGTCGGTGTATGGATAGTAAGAACCGCCCACATCACCCTTCTGTCCTACCAACGGTGGGGGGTTGGTGAATGGTCTATAGGTCGTCATACACTCTGCTTCATCAGAGCCGTCACTGCAATCTTGATGGCCATCGCAGTATCTTATTTCGGGAATACATTGTCCCGATATGCATGTCCATTCGTTGGTGTCACATTCTGTAAATACATAAGCGACAATAGAGTAGTTATTGACCATATATTGTCAGAGTAGATATAGTTCAACTCGCTGGAACAAATTGTTATGTTCAATCTGATTGAGTAAGCATATGAATATTCAATAGTATCTATCCAAAAGTTTCAAACAGCACTTCAAATCTACCAGGCAGCACGACATGCAGAAGCTTCTCACTATACTATATTATTTTTAAATAAATATAATATAAGATATAATAATGAAAATAAATAAGAATATTTTAAAGCATGCTGAAGAATTGGAGGTTTGTGAGCTAAAGGAATTAAAATTATTCATGAAATTAAAAAAGGTCAATTCAACTTTGATAGGTCGGATTAACCTTTTTATTCACCCCAATGGGCTCGGATGTAGGTTTACAAATTTCGGCTATCGAATGAAAATAAAAATGGATTTTTCAACACACAACGCATTCCTCAATCAGGAGGGGAAGTTATACGTGTTAGATACCGGAGTTATAACAGTTTTGTTCATCGGAGAAGTCCGAACAGTCATAGATATTGTCACATCGCCTTATGTGAGGTATGCAGCGACCGTCGTAACAGGTAAATTGTGACTCGTGGCAGGTTGTCATCTCTAACGGCGATCTTGACGGCCTCGTTACGTACCACGCTGTATTTTAGCTCAAATGAGATATCCACATCTCATAATTAAAGGGAGATTAAAATACCGCCTCCTTTGTATTTATTTATTCAAATGACACGTAATATTATACTAAGAATAAACCTTAACATGTATTTCGTTCATATATATGATAGATTTAACTGTGCAGCTGTATTAATATGTGCGAATAAGACAGAATATATATTTAAAGTTGTGTTAGTATCCGTAAAGCGTGAAGTGCATTGTGCCCTTTCCGTGTGCACGATTGCTTTGTATATCTAAGTGCTTTTACCCAGCATATTTTTTATAGTAATTTACTTGTGTACGATACATTAAAATTAATTTAACTTACGGCAATTCTCTTCATCTGAGTTGTCAGCACAATCCGGATTGTGATCGCATAGGAATTGTATATCAATACAACTTCCATCTCGACATTGATATTGATTCATTTCATTGCAACCATCTGAATCAAAACGTTGAAATTAATATATGAAATATGTCACTATGGTATGTACATAAAATGACATTCAACTTACATTGTTCGGGACGGCGTATCGCTGTGCAATTGAGTTCATCACTTCCATCTCTACACTCTATCAAACCGTTGCAGTGATAAGCGGCATTTATACATTCCTTATTCAGACACCTACGAACAATAGAAATGAACATTTACATAGTATAAAAACTATAACTTTTTGTCAAATCGCACATAAACACATAAGTCATAAACATTCAAGTCACTAGCACAGCATGTCAATAAGATAATCGCATAGTCAAAAATTACAATATTTCGCTGAGCAGGTTAATTATATTATACCGCCAGTAAGTTTTGTTACCTGAAGTCATTAGGACCGTTACATTCTGGGCAGTTTATTTCATCTGAACCGTCTGAGCAATCGGGTATTTCATCACAAATCTGTTGATCTTCTATACACCTGCCGTCGCACTCGTGGTTGCAATCTTTAAAAGAAACATTATTAATTTGTATAGCCTTCAATGAGTATATTAAATTCGTTGTAAATAAATATTCCGTAAAGCACAGCATAAGAACATTTGTAATATCCATCGCATCGTGTAGTCAAAAAAATTATTCGCTTCGCAAATTTCAATAAACTTATAATTAAACCACAGCTATGCGCATATTAAAAAAAACTATATTTCTTACAATGACATTCAGTTAATAAGACTATTTTACTGTACACATTTAAATTTAAAATATATAGCTAAAGTTTTTTATATATACAATGTTTGGTACAATGTGATACTCAATGTATCTTCTATTGTAGCATTTTCACAAAGAGGAAACTATTACTTATAGGGAAATAAAAAAATATTTACCTAAGCAACCATCTTCATCTTCTCCGCCAGAACACTCTTGCTGACCGTCGCAACGTGTGGCACACGGTACTTCTGACCCAGGATTGCAAGTGAATCTATCCGGTGGACAACCTGCTACACCTGGAAATCATCATCAAGAACTCATATCATACTCATCAATTATATTTATACCAAAACTGTGATCTCATCACATCTTCATTACAGCTCCATAGATTTGGGAATAGCTAAATCTATCTTAAGATAACATTCTGAGCATAATACTCACCTCGGCGACTTAACGGCACCATGCAAATAATATATTTAAACATGCACATTGCACAAGCAAATCAGCGTTAATCATTACATAAGTTATATTTGAAAAACTGTCTTAAAAGATATATACTTATAACTTGATTGGATCCAATGACTTACAGCCACAAAAACAAAACAACTATCAATGTAATCGAGGCCACATACAACATTAATTTTTCCCACATTACTCACCACAATTGAATTCATCTTCCCCAAAAGGTTGACAATCCCTTTGACCATTACACCTTTTTGAGATGTTTATACAAGAATTGTCCTGACATTGAAACTGATCTCTTTTACAAGGGCATTGTTTCTCGTCAGAACCATCTAAACACTCTGTAGTTCCATTGCAACGAGACTCCCCGGGAACGTATTGTCCATTCGAACAATTATATTGAGAAGCCATGCTTACTGTGCCTGCCATAATATAAAGCACTGACCATAACCGAAACACTCATTTTAAAAGGCTTTATTCAATAAACAATTATCAAGCTATATACACAGCTTATTGTACTCTATAAAACGTAAATGTGTCCAACCGAATAATAAATTTCAACAAAGAAAATGTTAATTCATAAAAGTTAATATTTTATACGTAAAATATAGAGGAAACAACTGTTGGTAGATTTTTTAAAGTATATACAATTTACCATTCGATTGCATACACTTCGTTTCCGATTTGCTATTTTATTTAAGCTTTCAAAAGTGCATAAAACGTTCGTATATTCTTTAAAATAAATAATTGTTAATTTATTATCAACTTGCATTTACTTTACTTTGGTTAAATATTGAATACTTATGTATAAAACATAACAAATAAATTATATAAATTGCTTAACTAATACAAGCTACTTGTGTTTTTTTTTGGTCATGCCAATGCAGGGAGACAATTTTTTTATTAGCCACGACCTTCGCAAATATCTAACACAAAAGTTCAAACAGGATTTATTTGAATAAAGAATTTGAAACTTGTCAAACCATAATTGCAATCCTGTTCATCAGAACCATCCTGACAGTCATGCGTTCTGTCACATTTTTTGGATGCAGGTATGCAGTAACCATTTCCACATTTGAAGTCGCCATCACCACATGCTGTACGGCAAAAGAAAATACTAAATTCTGTACTAAACATATATCGGAGTAACAACAGAAAAGAACTCAGTGCGGAAGGAAAGATGAAAGATGGATGAAAAGCTCTACGGGCACTACACTAGTGCGTAAGAAGAAGACAAGAGAGAGTGTTCTATGAAATGAGAAACAACAAAATAAAAGAGAGACAATCGAAAATAGATTCACAGTGAAACAGAAAATGGAAAAATTTGGAAGACAGTAAACACAAAAACAAGTTACAATGATCCTCAACTTACGACAATTTTGTTCGTCCGAATAATCACCGGAATCGCATTCGTATTGGCGATTACATCTTTGGTACTGTGGTATTAACTTTCCATTTCTGCATTTAAAATATTCATTTACTGAAAATGCAAGCAATTCGTTAATTTATTAACTTCGTGTTAGAGTTCAATTTAATGAAACCTAGACATATAGATATACTGGTTAAATATTTATAGATTTTGAAGTTACTTCACGTTTTATATTTTTCTGCGATTATTACATATCTCACGTTCACAACTGAGCATTATATTTAAAGGTTTTGTGCTATATGTACCTATCTAAATCTGCTATATAATATATACGTTTGCGTTTGAAAATATTAGCCCGTAACTGGAAAACGGGTCAACCGAGTTTGACAAATTGTATTTTTGTTTCGCTTCATTTCAAATTTTTATAAATGTTTAATGTATTGTTGTGGAATCCAAAATAAAATAGATTTACTATAAGTTAATTTTAACTTCAGCCAATAACAAGTAAGTTTAAGGAATTTAACGTAAAAAACAAAAAAAAAAACAACTCTTCTACCTGTTCAAAAAAATCGTATTTCGTTTGCAAGTAATAGTTATAATAAGGAATCTATGAAGTTCTGTAAAATGATAATTAAAATATTTAAATTCAGAAACTGTCCTTAATTCATAAAATAACTTTTTAATTAGTCTATTTATTGACTTTTGAATTAGGTGTTGTGCATCCTATACCTTCATTTACTTAATCATCTTATAGTAACCACCAAGTCTACAATCTTACCAACACAATGTCTTTCATCCGATCTATCTGTTGGACAATCGACTCGACCGTCGCATCGTTTAGAACGCTTTATACAACTCCCCTGATCACATTGCCATTGGTCAGTAGAGCATGCTTTGAAATATCAATTGAATGCATTGTTAGTAATAGCATAATTGTATTAAGTTATATGGTTAGTAAGATTTTAACTTACGACAATCGATTTCGTCGCTTCCATCGGGTAAACAATCACGATAACCATCACAACGTAATAATATCGATATACAACTACCGTTAGCGCAACGAAACATTCCTCTATCTTTGCAGACGTGATCGCCAGACCAGTAAAGCAATCGAGATACTTACCATTCCATGATGCATGGACAGAAATGTTCATATATAAGTATATTGACAGTGGTATTGCTTAATATCTAGAAACCAAAAGCCAATACATATATATTTGAAGTGTTATTGACTTACCACAGCCTTGTTCATCGGAGCCATCTCTGCAATGAGGTATTCCATCACATCGTTTTCGGCCTTCTATGCATGTGGAGTCGATTTCACATCGGAATTCATCTTGACTGCATTCTATAGATGAAAATTATTTTAAATAGAAGTACAAAACTATGACTTTATTTTAGACATAAGGTAACACATTAAAATGAATTTGTGATAGATTAATTCTTAAATGTTTTCCAAAAAAAACCTTTTTTGTAAAAATTATAATCATCACCTTAACACGTACCTAAAGCGACTTCAGAACCAAAAAAATAATCCTTTGTTAATATCAAGTTATTGTTTAAATTTTTCAAAGTGTTATTATCGGTTAAGATTAATTATTATTGTTATATTTAACAATTTTGATAATTATATCAATGATCTTCATGACATGTTAACAGTTAAGATTGACATAAAAAGTATTTTCGATTTAGCGTTTATTACCTATCACAAATATTAATACTTTCTTTCGGCTGCACTATAACTTTGTAATCGTATTCAAGAGAAGAAGAAATGAGAGCATCTGTCAGTGAAACATACTACATAATAATATTTGGGTTTAGATATCTCCATCAAAAGGTTTTAATCTTTTTGGGTATTAGTCCGGATGTATGTGGAAGATACTTATTGAAGTAATACTCAGGTTTTGCAAAGTATTCATGGGTTACGAATATTTTTATGAACAGACCCCATGTCGCATAATTAACTGCATGATTCTTACTTATGGTTTGTTTTGCAATTGCTATACATTCAGGAACGACCATTTGTGTTTTATGAAATCGGTTGTAGTGTTTTGGCTTGTCTATTGTATTTTAACAAATGTGGTCTACTGATGTTCCTTTGGATCAATTTTGAAAACCACGATCAAGAGCTGAATTTTAAATATTAATTTTGAAACAAAAATTAATTAAAAGGTAACAATAACAATGTAGATTTATGTGAATTTAAGACAGGCAACCCGAATGTCAATTGTTACAGATGTCACTCTGTCGACTGTCAAAACAAGTTTTTACTATTTAAATAAACAACAACAAAGCAATCATTGTTTAATACAACTGCCGAGAAGGTGTTTATATTACACACGTCATGAAATGACAATCGCAAAAGTTAAGGCAGAATATACAGCTTATTCTGTGCTAGCACAATTTGCCATTTCTACATTTCTTGTGAGGAAACTAATGCCATCAAACAAATATGCTACTATGAAGACTCCACTAAATTAAAAATAGGAACGCTATCGTGATTATCGATGAGAGTGATTGTGTTATTAATATAATAAACAGTGTCAGTGATACGTTCACTTTAACAAACTTTACTAAACAACTGTCAGACATAACTGTTATAGAAGAATAAATAAAAACATTACCTAAGCACCTATTATGGATCAGTCAATCAAAACTTGTCTTCTATACTTTAAGTTAGTAAATTCATAACTTTTACTAGTGTCTTAAAAATTAAAAAGCAATCTATATAGTGTTAATAATTATTGAAATTTGCTAAATGTTTTCAAAGTATTTAATGGCCTACATCCTATGTGACATTATACTACCCAATTAAAAAAAACACTGCCTATACATAACTATATACAGCCTTGAGTATATCTGATTTTCTGGTAATAATGTAGGTATGTCTGGACAATTAATAGCTCCCTTGTTATAGGCCATAAACATACATAAATTGCCAAACATAAAACATGATAATGAAAACTTTTAAGTATTCTTTCATAAATAAAATACTTATCATTGCAGATTATTTCGATTAAATCCATTCAGAGATAATTTAAGAGCTACCATCATCAAATTCATAGTTTTAGAAAGTCATGTGTAGAAGCTACTGGTAACATTTTGAAGGTGTCGACTAAAACAATTTACAAATAAACCAAAGGTGAGTCCAAACTAGAGTTTAGTTGTATTAATTTCTCTCAAACAAGTCGACATATATAAAATTATCTCCTGATCAAGATTGTCACTTGGAAATTTACATGATTTATTAGAAAGCATTTTCTAATTGAAATATATTCTACGGTAAAGTTAAACATAACAACCAATTTGTTAAACCACTTATCTTTTCTTGTAAACCCATACCTATAGTAGTATTTGATGCTATTGAAAATAAAATAATATATTGTCCCTTCCATAAAGATTGCTAGATTTATATGATAGTTGTAAGCTCAATTACATGTTATATAGAATCTCTATCTCTATACTACATAAAATTTTTATATTATAGAAATACCAAAACACCTTTAGATTTATAGATAAAATATATCAAAGATAATATTACTAACTGACAGCCAATCCCATCTTGACTTTCAATGTAAGTGATTAATCGAGTGGAATGCAAACCTCGGCCTAAATAATAATTAATGAAGCAATATAATATGCTATTAAAATCTAAGAATTTTACATCAATAATGTTTTATAAATCAGGATAATTCTTTACTGTGAATGTAATGTGTATATTGTTATTAATACAAAAAACATATTATTCTATATTGTTCCTAATAACGAACCAAAGATTACTATTATTCAAAGTTTTTATTGAGTATAATATGAGAAACTGAATATATGTTATATATGTATTTTGTTATATGTTATAATATAATATACCTAAAAGCAAAGCAAACATTACTATTGTTCAGAGTTCTTAATGAGTTAAATAGCAAGAAAAGGTACCTGTATTGTATTTTTACTGTCGGTGTATTTTTTTATATGTTATATTATAATACATCTATCTGTGCCCACTTACGGCAACCCTGTTCATCCTCCCCCTGTGAACAATCAGCGACTCTGTCACACCGGCGAGAACTTTCGATGCATCTTCCATCACCACAAACGAAGTCGTCAACGCCGCATTTTTCTGTTAACAATAAAATATACTATGAGATCACAACGATAATATTATAAAAAATATCTTTTTTTTTCTGGAATGGTTCAGATTTTGTTACCTAAGATCTTTGCGGGTATTCATTGAAGTAAAAGTAATATTTTCGGATGTACCATATTTTTTTTTGTTATTAAACTACATACCTACTCCCAACGTTTCGGTTACTTTGGCGCGTGATCACGGGCAGACGGGATGAAAATTTGTTTTATTTAGCTAAGACTTGTTAATACAAACTAAAAGTTCAAGTATACTGTCACTTTTTCGTAAAAAAGATGGAGTGAATTCTAGAAATGTCCTTATTATTTCTCAGTCTCTTAAAGTTTTTTGTCAAAACTCCCTATATAAAAATACATCAAAATTATTTGTGTAGTTTTTGGTAATTCAGTATCATTATTATCTATCCTTTTATAACGTTCAAAAAGAACAGGACAAAAAGATCTCTCATCATTTTATGTTTGGCATTCCTGATATAGAAAATAGTGGCTCAAGTCTGCCTAAACTGTACGCATAGCTTGCTTCCAAAATTTATATGTAGTGGTATGAGGAAGTCAAACATTACTATAAAGTTAAGTTTTGATGCATCTGGCTTAATGATATATTTATACAGACTACTCATGTTTACATCATTGAGTTAAATATACCTATTTACCAACACTAATAACATGTTTATTAATAAATACTAAGATGGATATGTTTGATTTAACATAAGTTTTCAAATAATTACTTGCCAGTTATTGGGTGTATTCACTACGCACTTATCATTCTGTTTTGTGTTGTATTAAATATTATTAAATGTTGTTACAGAAGCTGTACAGATAAATCGATTGTATCCACTCAATAAATCCACTATATGTCAAAAAAATGTGATCACGTAACGCCCTTACAAAGGTGTTTGCATAAATCAACAATAAAATGTAACAAAAACATAATGCCACAAGATTTTCCTGCCATTTTTTTGCAAGCATAAACATTTTCAGAAATACCTTTACGTAGTTAAAATTCCAAAGACGAAGACAGGCCTACGTGCTAAACTTGGCATTGTATACTAAATAGGGGCCGAGTAAGAGATAGCTTTAACTTGGTTATCTCACAAGATTTTATACTTAGATGTTTATCATATTTTAAATATATATAAATAGTTATTACGTAATTTCTATCCTTTTGTTCGTATCTCTTATTCTTTAATTAATATCAAATGTATCAAGCATTTGTAGTCAATAAACACATTAAATATCCAAGCCCTGTTAGAAGTAATAACCTTGTCTACATACATTGCAAATGCAAATGACGTATACCGTCATATTACATTGCATTTTTAATTATTTGACATGAAATTACTCCTGTTACGAAGATGTTTTAATAAATGAATAAAGAAATCTACATAGTAACCATTTAATTAATACGTAAAAAATGATTTTATTTATTATATCTGAACTCATGTTTCTCAAAACCATTCATAAATAAGTTACGTCCTAATACAAACATTTTAGTATGCTGCGATCTCAAATGCCTTTGGCGTTAAACCTGAGACAGGTCAGGTATGCAGTGCCAATCTGTTTACAATACGAGGTACAACGAAATGATACTTGATATGTTTTTATATCGATGTATATGGAAACAAATCTTCAATAAAATCAACGATATATATCAAAAGAGTTAAACGACAATAAGATCTATAAAACATCAATGTGAAAGTAAAAAAAAATATAAACTAAATATTTGGTATTCTAATTGAGAAATGATAATTTTATTTAAAATAAACAGAACATATATATATATTGTATGTTATCATACGACTTGAAGATTCGTGTATCCAAAAGCAGCACCGAATATCTCCTAATAAATATTATTATGCTCGGTGAACGTTCGCTCAATCTAATTTCAAGTGCCTACATCGCTACTAACCAACAAGTATTGAATGTAAATACCTATTTCTATTTTAAAATATTGTAAGTAAAACGTGTATACATTTTAATTGAGATGTTTCGTAAATAGATCTTTTTAGGTACATATTTATAAATACTTTTTATTTATCAGTTGTTACCAAAGGTTTTACAATGTTAGAGAAGATTGAATTCATTTAAAACAACTCACTACATTAACAAAAAAATCATATTAAAAAAAATGATAAACAGACACAGAAAATGAAAGCTATTTGCTATCTGTAACCAGAGTTTTGTGGTCACTATTACCAATTTTCAATACATTCATTCTATATGAATTTTACTTTATTACGTTTAAAACAATTATTCAATGTTTACTTTTGACTTCGATATAATAGAAATGCCTCATTTATTCTTTATACATCCGTGTATCGCTAAAGTAATGGGTCCCAGACAAGGCAGAAACGACAAATAAATTAAACTGTGTTATAAGTAGTCAACCTGCACCAGGCACAGGCTTTCCCTTATTACCAATTTGTCAGTAGTCGCTTTGACAGTAGTTTTAGAAATGGCTTAGAAATAAGTTTGCCATAACATAAATTAATTTTATTATAACTTAATATGCAAAAGATTATTTTTTATGATTTCCTTTTTTCATTTTTTAAGTGCAATAGCTCTATCACGAATGCTTTACTTTAGAATGGAATCTTTTTTGGTAGAAAATTAAAACTAAAGATTAATTGTTGCTTTCATTAACTGGGTCATCTCAGTGACCTTGAGATAATATTTGTTTTCATTTCACTTTCAATTTAATCATCGTGGTTTTCAATGTATTGTATGTAGTTTGTGTGACGTTGGCATGTGGGTTTATTAAAATTGGACTCTGTATATAATATTGACGGAATTTTGTAAGTCGTACTTACGGTCGTATCTGTAAGTCGTAGTTGCTAATTTAATTATAAAATCATATCCACTAATGCGACCGTTTTTGTTTTTGACTTTGTTGTTACCTTAACAATAGGAATAAAACATTTATGAACTCAATAGCAAATTTTATACGAGAGCTAAGGCAGAGTAACTCTGTTGTATAAAAATATTTAAGTTGCTTTAACATTAGATGTCGTTGAGAGCGTCTATTATGTAAGAGACAGTTAAAATTTTCTTAACATATTTCCGAGTAATGACCGAGCAAGCTTATGCATTGACAAACAGTAATACAATAGCAGATTTAAATTTATAAAGAAGAACTAACCTGTCAAAATGTGATGGGTCTTAATACGGTTGGGTCATACATTTGTATATCGTTAGTAAAAGGATACAATACAATGGTGTTTGATAAAATATGCAAAGTAAGAGTTTAGGAGGTTTCAAAAAGTCAACGCTTTCAAATCCCGATTTACTGATATATGTATAAGTTTTTGTTCTGTTTTTCTTATATAGAGAAATATTTATATCGGGTTGAACAGATTGCAATGATTGTTAGATGAATTTAAAAAAGTGCTTAAAATATAATTGTCCTACTTTCATTAATAACAATATTTTCACCAGCTTATTTCTTTTACTTCTACCAAATTAAATGAACATGATTTTTTCAATGAATTATTTCGATTTCTTGGTATTACGTAGACAACGTTCGTGGAGACAACCCTACTTTTACTGTCATGCTAATAACATCATCTCCCTCTGTGGTTAATCTTTCGTGAACCCTAGTGGGTCGTTTGATAAAAATTAGAATGGATAAAAATGCACCCATTAGCATCATAATGAGAGCATTAGACGGTTATACATTTGTCTTTCTTATACTATAACTAATACTTTTATGACTTATTATTATTAAGATTTTTTATCAACACATAAATTTCTTAATATTTTCTTTGCAATTCTAAGTTTTATTCTACTTTATTGCCAGTCGATGACAACCTTGCTACCCAAACGTGTACACTTCAACTCCAATCACCGTTCGTCCACTTTGGCCTTTATAATTCGCCGTTGACCAATATTTCCCATTCGTTTCAAATTGTTCAAATATTTAAAAGTGAACATCGCTGTGCATCGTAACTTGAGACCTCTATTTGGAGCCAAACTTTTTTTTAAAAGGTATCGATAAATAATTTACCAAAATTTGCCTTTTTGAAATCGTGGAACTAGGACATTTACAGGTCCTGCTTAATTAATCGTACATAAGAGCCCTCCACATTTTGGCGACTTCAAAATCTTACTTTGAACCAAACACCACTTTCAACGAAAGATCTATGAATATTAATTATCATATAACAGTTAGTATATCATCAAATAATAATAATTTAAATATATTAAAAATATTCTACAAAATAGTTTGAAACAAACAAAAAATCATTTATAACAAAACTTGTCATTGTTGTGTAGATAATTAAAAAAGTGAATTCATAAACGAACAAAATTTCTTTACTAACATATCATTTACATTAGTATTAACCCCGTACATGTTTTTACTAACATAATATTCACAGATTGGTTTTCGCTTTGTCAGCTTAATTTATGCCGTTCTATAACACACCTGCAATATTAATTATGTTCCAATCCAATGACGTAGACACAACTTAAAGATAATACACACATATACATTTACTTATATTCATATAAATTATGTTTATATTTATATATAATAAAAATATATCATAAACTCTATTGGATTATAAATTTTACGGTTTTGCGTGAATCTGGTAAGTAACCCGGCATGATTGTATCCCGCCCCCAATTGCAATGAAATAGAAATGTTCAGAAGAGTCCATATTAAACTTAATATAAATGAATTCTTCATTGGATTATAACTACTGTGTTATAGTTGTACGATTATAATTTTTAAATAACTCTTCTTTAAAACACTTATTAATCTTGGAAAATGTTTAAGTGGTAACGTAGATTATTTAGTCTGTAGGTGTATTAGTTGATTATCTACTGTCCAGAGACATATTCTTCTCATATTCAGACTTGCCTTACTTTTGTCAAGTTAACAACATTCGTCATAGATGAAAAAGTTCTGCCTATTTATATGATTTACTAAAGCTCATTCTAAAACATCTTTGATGTATTTTTTTTATGTGGAGGCAT